CAATGCTTTAAAATCAGGCTGCTGATCATTGTGACACAGGGACCCAGCTTCATACAACCCTTTAACTGGAGCCCCGATTGAAAGTCAGCGAATTGATTTGATTGTCAGATGCTGCAGCAGCTGCCTGTAAACAGTCATCAAACCTTTGGATGTCAACATTTTCCCTGGCACCGATACATTAAACTGCTTAGAAAAATCTACTTCATATACATCCTTGGTCTCTCTAGAGCCAAATATGATCCTCTCCTCCTGGCTACTGAATTTACTGTTCATTGTAAGGTAAACAATTGTCAATATCCCCATTCTCCTAAGATGTGAAAGCTCCTGAATGTAACTTGCAGACACAGTAAAAGTAAGTATGTTCATACTTGGAAGAAACACGTAAAAATGTTTTTCAGTTCACCGTTTTGTGAAAGGTTTTTATGAGCTGCTGCTTTTCCATCTGCAACTTTAATTTCAGCCAGTGGCCACAAATTATTTGATTATGTAAATATTGGAGCAGAGACTCTCAGTTTTGTCTGTGTCAAAATGGATGGCAACATTTTTTTTTTCTTCTTCCATTTGTTCATATGTACCCATGTTGAATTACTGTACGAGGCATTAACAGATGAATGCAAAGCAACATGCACAGATGTTTTTATTCCAATCACAGTTGCAATAACTTCATGTCTTACATGACTTAATTAGGATTTTACTAAACCTAAGAGATTAATTGTGGTCATTGCCTCTCTGGGCTGAGCACAGAGCAGGTGTAGTGGAAAAGGAGGACACGTAATCCTGCCTACAGTGAAACATCTACTCATTTAGGCTTTCACTACAGAGGTGTGCTACAAACAGCAGGCCAGACAAACCTAATGATTTACATAGCTTCAAACAGGAACATATGAAGGTTAATTGTGGGCGATCGTCTTAGTATACGTGCACCATTCCATACAGGAAAGTCCAGAACAGGACGTAGGTGAAAAGGCCCCCGACGAGGCCTCCGGTGAAGAGGAGCCGCCGTGATTTAAAGCACTTGTTCCACCTCCGTCCAGCCTTGAGGATGAGCAGCAGAGAGAGCAGGAAGGAGGAGAGGAAATAGAAAATGAAGCCGTACAGTCCAGTCAGCCCCAGGATGCCGGCCGTGGCTCCTGAAAGAGCGGACACGGAGGTGCGGCAGTAGTCCAGCACGGCCGCGTTACCCCTTACGGCCACTTCGCTGATGAACTGCGGTCCCTCGCGCTTGGCCCCAACTGTTGCCATCTTGGGCTTTGGTCGACCACCAGAGGGTGCTGCTGTGACAGGAAATGAGTTTAAGATGCAGTGTTAGGTCTTTTTTTGAGTTACTCATCTAATCTAAATTATCATCCTGAAAACCTGTGGAGAGATACCATTTACAGATTCAAACGCCACATTCAATTTTGCACCAAATGCATTAAAAAATGTGTTGCCAGAAAGATGGCATGAAGTATTAAGGTTATTTGAATTATCTTAATGGTACATGTGCATTTATTCATTTACACACAAAGGTTTGTTCTGCAGTGAGAGATTTGGGCTCGGAAATATCTACATTTCATAAAAAAATAGAACCTTCAACCAGAGGCTTTAATCTACTACCATGCAGTTTAGATGTCTTTATGTCAGATTAACTGAAGTTCCTTCATTTTAACCCGGGTTCAACTTGATACTAAAGAAAAATGATATTTGATCCAAGAATAAGCACATCCTCTTTTTGGCTCTATATGTCTATAGGATTATTATGACCATGTTAGGTCTGCTTTCTAAAGTTAAAATACAGTTTATTTTAATAATTTCATTTATTTCATGTGCTTAACTAAATAGAACTGAGTCTAAGAATTGAAATTCAATAAGAATGAGATGCAACAGGACACTGGCCAACAACCACAATCTTATTGTTCTATGCTAAACTGATTAAGCTATATTTCAACTATATATTCAGTTCCTTATCAGTGAATTATACAAAATATTTAAAATTACTATAGACATGAGGCCTTTTCTGAATCAGTGCTGTGTTTAAAAAAGCAAAAGAACTGAACAAGTTTAAACTTACGTTTAAACTTTCTATTCAAGATACGAAGAAAAGATTGTCAGCTGATGACTGAGCTGAACATATCCCAGCAAAGTTGCTCTGTTTAGGTTTTTTTAAAGAGCTTTATTTTGTGGGTCATTCTCATTAGAATAAGTTAAGTCTTTTGAAAACATTAGTTTCAAAGTAACAATCCATGTTGTAAGGAATAAAAGATAGATGGGTTTCAGTATTGGAGCTTAACGCCGATTTAAAATCTAAGCTGCAATTAAAAACATAAGCTATTATTTTTATTAGGGCTACAACTAACGATTGTTTTGCAAATCGATCAATCTGTTGATTATTTTTCGATTAATAATCAGATAGCCAAATGTTGTTAAAGATTTTTTACCAAATTAAACCAGGTTAAACTAAACCTTTTCCCCTGAGGAGTTCCTGAAAGGACATATTGACAGAAGAAATTTTTTTTTTAAAACTCTTATATGCAAAATGTTTCTGTATATTTTTGTTACAATTTTGATATAACTAATCAAAGTGGGTCGCTCTGTCATCTAAAGGCATGTTTTAGAATCTCTATGCCCCAGTTAATGATTAATCGATTACTGAATTAGTTGACAATTATTTCAAAATCGATTCATCCAGTGAATTGTTTCAGCCCTAATTTTTATTGAGATTAAATAGGAGTGAAATCTTCAACTATAGTGTCATGGTGCCTCCAGTCCTGACAACGATTCACTGTAAAATAAGAGTAATTTAACATTGCAGGGAAGACCAGCAGTTGTTTATTATTAAGTTATTTTCAGGGAAAGAAACAAAAAAATGACCTGGTCTAAAGAATTTTAATGTTTGAACTGACAGAAAGCCCTGCAACTTTAACATGTTACAGGGAAATCAGTTATATGTCAACGATTTATCTTAAATAATCCATAATGCGGAAAAAATAACCAAGTACAGACTCTGTCCCAACACAAAAGAGATATATTACAAATAATATTTGATTAGTTCATCTAGTGGTGGTGATAATAATCGAGATTAAGCTGGATTATCCAAATTAATACACGACATTTCAAAGATAACCATGCGTTGTTGATTTAACTGAATATAAGCGGTGCATTTAAAGATTATTCACAAAAACTAAACAGCCTAAATTCAATGTAAACGTTTATATATGAGACACTTTATATGATCGCCAAGAGGAAAAATGAACTAATATTTTTCGGTGTTAGCTTAGGCCGACATAGAGCTGACAGATGACGTCTGCTGTCAAATGGGATGATTAAATCCGGGTAGAATAACGGGCCTCAACTCCAACCACCGAGTAAACATCTACAGCCTCACAGGATCAGCCTCACTGCATTTCACACACAGAAGAGCTGCTTTACATTCATGTCACTGATGCTGCTGCTGACAGGCTAGCTTGTTAGCTTAGCCTCAGTAACGACCACTCACCGGGTTTTAAAGACGTTTTCTGGTTCCACTCGATTAAATTATTGCTTCATAATAATAACATATATAAAGTTACTTCACAGCTTTTAAAATCAGTCGCTAAGAAATATCAGCAGCTTCAGCGAAGGGACGACGGATTCATTCTCACAGGACTGACACTCCTAGAAGAAAGTCAACCATGCTCCTTCGCAGTGCATTATGGGTAGATGCTAGTCATCAAAAGGGCTGGTGGTGCGTTCAGAGTACAAAAAAAAACTCGAACATCTTTGTTTTGTAATAGAAATGATTTTTTTTCGCTAAAAGTGTGTATAACTAAATAAATTATTAAACATAATAATTTCTAACAGATAACATGGCGGCGATTTAGTGAAAAGTAATTACTTTATTTCCAAGCTTTCCTTTTAAATTAAGTAAGACAAGAGAACAGAATACACAGAAGATATGTCTAAGAAGGTGTTATAAGGTCATTTAACTTACAGGAACAGTTTTATTCGATTAATTTAAATTTAGAGAAACATACAAAGCGATGTTAATTACAGTCGTAGCTCTAGAGTTTGTTTGTTTTTTATCAATAAGTTTTAATAGCTGTAGGCATGAAGGAATTTTTTGCAGAAATCTCTCATATCGCAAGAGAACTAATAATTTTAACATTAGTTTATGTCATTGGACATTTAATAGGCTATCCCCACATTAAAGTATATGAAATGCTATTGTTTATCCAATGTGTTTATTATAAGATAGTATTAGAAATTGTATTTTTAATTCCATCCACCCTACTTCTTAAAGACAAGCTGAAACTTTTGGAGTCAGCCTCCATCTGTCCCACTGGATATTGGATCTTTATCTCTCAGGCAGGTCTGTGGGGAACACCAAGATGGAGGCTACCATAGAGAAAAGCAAGGAGCTGCTGGTGGAGTTCCTGCATGTGCAAGCGCACCTGAGTAACATTGTGTGGTGAGCATCCAGGTAGCTGATACTGAGAGACTGGACTGTTATAAATACCTTGATAACCACCTTTAAACAATAAACAGAACAAACTATAAATAATATTTAAAAGAAGGTTCAAAGCAGAAACCTGCTGAAGAAGTAAAGATCTAGTTGACTGCCAGAGAGGCTCCTTAAGGCATTTGATGTCCCTGTGGAGGAGTTAATTGGAGCAGCTGAGAGAGATGGTGGAAAATAACATTTTGGACAGTGTCTCCAACCCTATGCATGAATTGTTTGAAGAATTAATGAGCTCTTTACCATTGCAAAAAAAAATGTACAATGAGCTTTATGGAAGTTTCATCCTTCCAGCAGCTTTAAACTTTTTAACATTCAGCATTTTTAGTTTGTTGCTTTTATGCATAAATATACATACAAGTTGAGCACATTTTTCAAAGCCACCCCACTCTGCTGCCTGCTTTGTTTTTTTTCTTGTTCTGCAGGCTACTTTTAACCACTAATAGCTGTAAAGTATTTTTAATGCTGCAACTATTCTGTCAGTGGAGTCATTCAATACTCATTTCTGTTTTTATACATATTTTTAATTTTCATGTCTATACAGATAGCAAATACAATCTTAATATTAATTTAAATAATTACTTTGTAATGCTATAAATTCTAGATAATTGAAAATTTTGGGGAATTTGTTTTAAAAAAAATACTTTCATGGGAAATTCAAAACGATAAGATGAAAGAATTATTATTATTATTTGAGACGTTTTTATTCAGTAGTTCGTTTATTTGAACACAAGAGGGCAGTATTGTGCCAAACGCAATAGGCGTTAACTTGGTCTTGTCGAAAGGTTATATAAGTGTGAACTGTTTAAATAGTGTAAATGGTGTAAGAGTACAGTCATAACCAGAGGTGTCAAGAGTACTTAAGTACACTTCTTAGGTATCTATACTTTACTCCATTACTTATTTTTCTTCCTACTTCTGACTTCTACTCATTACATTTTCACACAGGTATCTGTACTTTCTATCCCTTACATTTTTTAAACAAATAACAAAAGCAACTGTGCAACTAAGTAGAAAAAGTAAACAATTAGATGTCAGTGCAGAGCATATAGATACTTTAGAGCATATAGATAATGTCGAGCATATAGATATATAATAATAAAACAATATAACATGTAACATGAATATATAACTTACGTATGAAATGTATATGACATGTTAACATGTTGTATATTATTAGAATATATATATTATAGTTTATAATATATTGTATATGTATAATAGCAGTCAATTTCAGTCTGTATCTTCAGGTTTGGGCACAGGTCTTACTGCCTGTTGGTCCAGGATCCCCTGTAGCAGGTTGATTACCCGTACAAGGCGTGGGACCTTTCTCCTCGCTGTATTCGGTCCACCATGTTGGCTACCAGCATCCCAAATGCAATGAAGTCATCTTGGGCCGAACGCTTCCTCTCTAATATCTCCTCCCGACGCTGATCCAACGGCTCCAACTGCTTCACAATGTCCGCGTCATTCAAGCGCGTCCGCTTGGTGACACCATGTGGCGTAGAGGGCAGAGATGAAGGTGAGGTCCTCGGCTGAAGAGGTGCAACTATTCTGAAAACGGTCTGTAATCAGCATTTTTGTCTTACCCAGTATTTCATGTTTTCTATGTGTTAACCCATAACCCCTCCTGCTGGGGCAACTAAACTTGTACAAGCATCAAAAATGAAGCAGCAGACGTGTTTTTGCTGCTCCTGCTGCGTTTGGTGTGAACGCAGCACTGCGGCAGCAGCAGCTTTCAATAGAGCGTCCATTGAAAGATAAAAGTTCTATTTTCTGTTGCTGTTGTTCAATAAAAGTACGTTTTAAGATAATTTGAAGCGAGAATATTATACTTTAAAGTGTCATTATGTAGTCCATTTACCGATTTAATGCGTAATTTAAAAAAAGTTTCCGAAGTTGAGAGCACCGCGGCAACCAGCAGAGCTCCGAGGCTAACGGCAGCCAGAGGAAACCGCAGCCCGTCTGCAGCAGCCCTTTCTCGGCATAGCAGTGTGTGAAGGACCGCTGGGTCTGATGGCGATTTTTGACTCAGCTTTGGAATCAGTTTTGAAAGGATTAGACTTGGGGTTTTCGTTGAAACATGAGCAGGAAGAGGCTCTACGCTCATTCATTTTTAAGGAGCACATATTTGCCGTTTTACCAACAGGCTGTTTGTTTACATTTCCCCACCAGCTTTCTGTCGCCTTACTACGTCACAGTCAGTCGCGCTCATTGGTCAGAGCGTTGGCCAATAGGCACAGACAGTGGTTTGAAAAACAACGGGTTCTCATCAACAATCTTCCGATGTCTTATTCATCGGAGCGAGACTAAATTACACATTTCATCTCCCATTAAGTCTGGTTTATCAGGCTACTCTTGGCCAGGACTCCCTTGAAAAATAGGTTTTTAATAAAGTGTAATAATACTCACTGCTGCCACCCTCCGGTTTAATGGGGAACTGCTTGTTCCGCCAAATATCCCCACTCACAGTGTTAGAGAATCTTAAAAAAAATCCTGGATAAAAATTTTATATGGTCTGTCTGAAACCTCTAATAAAAAAGAAAATGATTAAATCCTTCGATAACAATTTAGGTTGTGTACACAAACAGACACAAACCGTCCTAAAAACCTACATCCTCGGCGGAGGTAATATTATAATTTCAGATTTTATACTCCAACCCAGAATGTGGCGGTAATGCATCAGAAAACTGTTTACCAACCGCCATAAAAAAAGCAGAAGAAGAAGAAAGTCGACCTTGCCTCCAGGATGATGTGCCATGGTTAGTAGAGCCAGCAACCATGCCTAAGTTCATCCTGGGGATAGATGTGGGAACCACTTCGGTCAAAGCTGTGCTGCTGGCAGCGGACTCCAGGACTGTAGCCGTGGGTCACCCTGAACCCACAGCTGCCAATCTCAGCGACGTTAGAGGAATAAAGGTGAGCTGTCAAACTTCCCTGTGCAGCTGAGGGACACAGCTGAGCCTCTTGCTCTCTGTTTGGTATCCAGGCTAAGGAGCAGGACCCCGGCCTGATCATAAACGCCCTGAACCGCTGTTTGGCTCAGCTGCCCAGAGACAAGCTGCAGCATGTTAGCAGGGTCGCTCTCACCGGACAGATGCACGGGGTTCTGTTCTGGACTGCTAAGGGTGGTAAGAGGACTTCCGGTCTGCTGATTTCAAAATAAAGCAACAAGCTGCACACATAAAGGCTGTTTATTTATCCAGGATGCAGGCTGGATATGGCTGATAAAAATAGGACAAAGTTTTATCTGTCACGGTAGTTAAATATTAATGAAATGGACTTGGACATATTACAGCTGCCATAGATCAGGGCTCTGCAACCTTTCAAATCCAAATATGCATTTTATTCTGAGTCCTGATAAATAAAAGTCTTCTAGAGCAGCTGCATATTAAATGACCTTTTAATAAAACAGAGGTTATTGGTTTTTTTTAATATCTGCTGTAGGAAATCTGTTGCCATCTTAAACAACCGACATTTTGTGTTTTTTTAGCTTTTAAAATAAGAAAAAACAAAATGATTGATCAAGATGAAGTATTGATTTTATTTATTAGGGAATTAGTTGATCTAAAACAAACAAACACGACTGCTAAACTGATGAAAAGTAAAATAGATCTAAAACAAATTTCTGATCCTTTTAATGTCATTTTGTTGTGAAAATTCAATTCAAGTATTTTTTTTTTTAATAAAAAACATTATAGTTTCCAAAACTGGCATTTCTTATTACACTTATTACCAGATTCTACAATGCGACACTACAACAGCAATAACTTTTGTGCAATGTATAATTTGCAATAATTTTTTAATACCCTTTGCAATAACCTGTTTCTCTACATTTGACACCCAGTGCAATAACTATATATCTAAATATCCATCTATATAAATATAATAACCCTGTATAATAATCCTGCTAAAAAAGAGCCTTCAGCTGTCATATTTACCCCCCATGCACCTCTTCATTTGCACCTTCCTCTTCTTTTTGACTATTTTAGCCGATGTAAATTTCTCCACTTTGAGATCAATAAAGTCAATCAATCAATCAATCACATAAAAAGAAAAGTATCTTCATGACAGTGTAATTACAAAGAACAATCACTTGGTAAAATAAAAAAAAATACAAAAACATTTTCTATTAGAAAGTCATGAAAAACAGAATGAGAGAAACATTGTTTTTTTGTCACAACATAATCCTCAGAACATTAATGCTGATACATAAAATTAAATGATTTACTTTTTGACTTGGCTTATCAACTTTTCAGATGAATGTATTCATTTTGTACCATAATCTTTTAATGATTTTTCTTTAAACTAAATTTACAGTTGCTAACATATGTAGGCAACATTAGATTTCTGTTGTTTTTCTATGATGGAGTTGCTCTCAGCTTTGAAACAGAGGTAGAGCCTGTAGACCACATCTGACCCCACAATTTCCCTCGTTTGCTGTAAAGTGGTGTTCATGACCAAAAATGATAACTTGCAAAAGGATCCAAAGAGCCACATGTGTTCCCCTGCCATAGACCCTTCAGGTGTGAACCAGTAAAAGTAGATAACATAGGGCCAGCCTGTGGAGTGGTTGTTAAACTATTTGTCCCATTCCAGCATTTATATTTACTTTCCATCAAAGATTAGATTATGATTCTTTCAAACAGCCACTGGAAACAGAAACGTAGTTCAATCCAACTGCAGGTGACTGGAGAACAGGATTCTACCACGCTGTGTGGTCTTTACCCTGCTTGCCCTCATGGGAAATGCTGCCTTCTTGCAGGTATAACAATACAGCTTATGTCCACTAGGGGGAGCCAAAATCAACCAGAACTGAAAGTTCTTCAGTGCTGCTTTAACAGTAGTTTATGTGGTTGAAACGATCTAGTTATTAAAAAACACATTCAGTAAATAAAGGCTTCAAATTCCATTTAAAGCTATAGTTTTAAAGGTATGAAATCTATAGTTGGTAACATGCTCTGTCCAGCAGCCGACTGCAGGCTGGCTGCCTGATCAGGTAGCTTGACTAATCAACCCATTTGTATCGGCCTCTGCTTCTAGTTTTAATCTGTAAGGAGCAGAATGGCGCAGTGCATAAAGGTATAATGGAATATGAGACTCTGCATGATAAACACTTGAAATCTTCCACTAGTGGATTTAGATAATTTTTTTTTTGTGTGCTGTTTCCAAATAAACAGATTTCTTTTTTATCCCTGTCAAAAAATATATATGTATTTTGTCCCTGATTTGTTTTGTTTTTCTTAGAATATATGTATATCCATGTTTTTTCTTGCTATAATTTTAAAATGAATACATAAGTAAAACATGCATTTAAAAAAAATATTTGCTTAATCTTAGCTCTAATAAGGAGAGTTCCTCCTAGAGGCTGTTGGACATTAAACCCATCACTGCTCCCAGTAAACGTTTTTGAAAAGTTTTATTTTTCTTTTTTTGTAACCAGTCTTTTTTCAAGTTTTGTATATTTTTTTTATCTAACTCGGTTGCACGTTTCCTCAAATCTGAGTATACTATTCTTAGTAACTGCATAGTATTTTTTCTTATGCAGATAATTTCCCCCCTGCATAGTTTATGTTCTGTTTTTATATTTTCTGTTTCTGTGACTCTAAATGCTTCGATGTGTCTGGAACAGATGAATCTCCCCACTGATAAAATATATTTCTGTTTCTATGCCATTTTATTTTTCATTTCACATTTGCTTAACCAGGAAAAGTTGAATTGAGATTAAATCTCTTTAATCTCTTTAATCTCAACATTCAGCCAACAAGCAAAAGTAAAAATGCTTATGAAAGTACGCCAGATGTCGACAGTTTTAGATTTTTTAATATAAATTTAAACTTTCCAGAGTATGTTAGGATAAAACAGATATTTATTATTATTTCTAAACAAAAGGAAGTGAAGCGTTTAACTGTCTTTGGGATCTTGTATCAACCAGGGGTGTATCGGAGAATTTGGCAAAACGATTGATTTGTATCACAATTATCCTCTGATATACCAATACATTTACAAAGACAATTATTATTATTTTTACTAATACAGTTTTGGAAAAACCTCAAGATCTTGTTGCTCTGCTGGTGCAGAGCATCAGAATAATAGGCTGTAGAGTGGTGCTCTGCAAACTATCAATGAGAGGTTCAAGGGTTATATCAAAGTAAGACAATTAAATATATAAATATATATATATTTTACATTTAGCCTTATTTCGAATCAGTACTAACGTCTTATGAAATATTCCTATACTGATCTTATGAATAAACAAATATCGTCTAAAAAATACTGTCATATTTGACACAATCATGTTTCTACACCCTTAATATTAACTATCTTAGCTGTTAGTATGTTTATTAAAAAAGGTTAAAAGCTCACAGTTTAAACAGAGCAGCTTTGCTGTACTTTGTTTAGCCTTTCTGTTAGTCACTAAAACTCTTGCTCTCTCTCACTGAACGAACAGCAGACGTATGTTTTTCATGGCTTCACACATACATCTTCCTTCTCTGACATCCTGTTAGCCTCTGCTTGGATCGCCGCCACCAGCTACTGTACAGATATAAGGGGTCATTTTTGTTGCACTGGTGGTTATAATCTTTCTAAACATCATCACCCAGTTAAACATAGAATATCTGTTTACCCAGGCTGCGATTGGTCAGACCGGGACTTTTTCACACCCAGAGACACCAGCCAGCTGGTCACATGGCAGGACGGACGCTGCAGCAGTGACTTCCTGTCCTCCCTCCCGAAGCCAGAGTCTCATCTCGGGCTTTCAACAGGCTTCGGCTGTGCAACGATCTTCTGGTACATGAAACACAGGTTGGTACACACTCAGTCCTTTCAGGAGCCACTTTCAGCAGTGAATAAATACGTTTTTCTGGTTCCTCTGCAGCCCTGAATTCCTGGAGAACTTCACAGTTGCTGGTACCATCCAGGACTACGTGGTGTCCATGTTGTGCACTTTGGACACATGCATGATGACGCCTCAGAATGCAGCCAGCTGGGGCTTCTTCAACACTGCAACCAATCTTTGGAACGAGAACATGTATGTAAAAGTTCATGTTCTATGGCCTGTGCACGTATTATCGGAGATTATAACCACCTAACAGTTTGCTCCACCACTACCGGAGGTCTGTCTTACTGAACAAACTACATTGTGTGCATGCTGTAGTCTGAAGGCTGCGGGCTTCCCTGTTCGTCTGCTTCCTCGCTGTGTGCCATCTGGTGCCTTGGTGGGACAGACATGCTCTGCCTGGCATGGCGTTCCTGCAGGCACACCAGTAGGGGCCGCCCTGGGAGACTTCCAGTGCTCCGTCTACTCCTGCATGAGTGCGCCAGCAGATGCAGGTGAAACAGGAAGTCGTTAATGCATTTAGTGTATTATGATCAACATAAAGATTTTAATGCATTTTAAATAAGCCATGATAAGACATAATGTGCCTAAAAGTGACCTTTTCTGTGGTCAACTCGCTGAAGTCTAACAAAGTTCATGTGATTAATGCATGACCTTCTTTAATGTTTGAAATTGTTCTCATTACATCTTAGCACATAAGAAGTATAAAAATACTGTCTATTTCTTATAGGTTATTTCCTTTTTAACATTTCCCAGTTCTCAACATCAGCACGTCAGCCCAGCTGACCTTCGCCATGCCAGCTGACTTCATACCTCCTGATTCCCCTCAGCCTGAGTCATCCATCTCCTACTTCCCTTACTTTGACTCGTCATACTTGTCTGTGGCAGCGTCGCTCAACGGAGGGAACGTCTTGGCCACTTTTGTGGACACATTGACTGCCTGGATGAAGGAACTTGGTATGTTTTTTGTTATGCATTGCATTGCAAAGGTCTTCATTCTCCACTAATGTGGTCACATGCCATCTGCAGACATTAAGGCTTATTTGATGAAAGAAAAACCCACAATGGTGACAGAAATACCCTGAATCTGACAAAAGTAATGAAAGATTAAAAATCTATGAAAATGGTCATATGAGATTTCTTTTCAACCATCAGTGTCTGCTCATCGCTCTGTTAGCCATTTTCCCAGCTGAGCTGTGAATCCAGACTTATTTTCCTTTAACATCGGCTTCTTTTATGCCTCTTTTTTCCACCAAGACCTAATTGGTATTTTTTCCTCTCTCAAAATATTCCTCCACCTAAGCTGTTGATTTCTGCTCCTCTTTCAGAGTTTTAATGGATTTTTATTTTAACAACCTCTGATTAAAGCTCTCCTTGTATCAGTTTAGATGTGCTGTTGTGTCATAAACTTTCCATTGAATAGATTAAACAGAGCTCTGTGAGATGAAATACTGTTTTCTAAACTTGTACCCACTTATGTTCCTACAGTCATCATTGCTATTAACATTAACTCTGAGGGTGAGGAAAAAAGGTACTAAGAAACCATTATTTTTATAGAAAACAAAGCGAAATCTAAAAATTTAGTTCATAAAGAAGGAAACTGTATTTAGCTTTTATGGGAATGTCCACTAAATGCGACGTTATGAGTAGAAATGTATTTATCTAGGAAGTGATCTGCTGATTATTGTCATTATTGACAGTGTTTGGCATTTCTGCACAATAACTGAAGCGTAGCTAATTTAATGGACGCTGTAGTCACATTGTAACCTGAGCTGTTTATTTTCAGAGCTGATGGTTTTCCTTTTGGTCAGTTCAGTTGCTTTTTTAAAGCGAAAACTCAAAACAAGCTCTTCCTTTACATTTGTTCTGCACATTTAACAGAGCATACCATCTGCACACTGCTCCATTTTGCCAATTTAGCCACTTTAACACAAAGTTCACATCAGTTTGAACCTTTTGTGTTTGATGTCGGGTAGCTGTCAGATCAGCAGCAAGTCTTGCTTCAGTGATCATTACAGATGTTGCTGCAGACAGGAAGCAGGGCGGTCCTAAAATAAACTGGAGGCAAACTTTGGTTCTTAGTCGGCTCTAACAGTAATCCAGAAGTTTATGAAGTAGATGAGAAGCACCTTAAAGCTCGTCTACCTAAAATACGGTGACTTTAATGCCCTGAGTTGCCATTACATGGCCAATTTCAGATTGATTTAAATAAAGCTCATAAATAGCTGAAGGTCTATTCTATTCATTAGCTGTCAATAACCACACATTTGTCTCTTATTCCTGCATGAGTGTGTTGTGGAACTGCCTTTACTTCATGCATTTTCATTGGAAAATAAAACAAGTATTTCTGCGCCCTAATTCTAGATCATAGCTCTCCTACTTTTCTATTTCTATATTTTCTGAGTAACTCTATTAAGGTAAACTTTGAGCAGAAAAAAAAATAGATTTCTGTTAGACTGTTGACATTCTGACGTTATTTGTTAATCATAGATTAAGATCAGAGGGGATGTCGCACCATGTGTGATGTAGGCATGTTGGTGTTACACAGTTCTACATTAAGCAAGCAATAAAATAATTACAACAGTGACCTTTTCAAGTGTTTCTAACATCTTCTGATAGCAGTTAGCACTATGTGTAACCCTAGACAAGTTAGACTGACCTTCTGCTTCCTTTAAATCCTGACAGGCGCAGAGCTGAGTGACTCATGTATGTATGAGAAGCTGATTGGCTGCGCTCTCAACCAGGAGACCAGTGACCTGACGGTGAGCCCCACCATCCTGGGGGAAAGACACAACCCCCTCTGCCTCGGTCAGGTCTCCAACATCTCTACCTCCAACCTCTCCCTGGGTCACGTGTTCAGAGCGCTGTGCCGTGGCATCGTGAGCAACATCGTCTCCATGATGCCTGTGGAGCGCCTGCAGCAGGCAGGGGTGGGGCGGATCCTGGGGAGCGGGAGCGCCCTCACTCGCAACGAGGTGCTGAGGCAGGAGGTGGAGAGGGCGTTTCCTCTGGAGGTGGTTTACGGACAGAATGCAGACTCCGCTGTCGGCGCAGCCATGGTGCTTTCAGACCGGCTCTGAACAATCTACTGGGAAACAAGCATGTTTACATAATCAGCTGAGATTTTTGCACAATTCTGGACACTTTGGTGTAATTTAATGGTTTTAATTGGATAAATTAACAGGACTGCTTAAAGCAGATTTAAATATAACATTTTGATTTCTGGAGGAGATTTTAAACTCTTATAGAAACCTACGAGGACTTTATTCCCTTTAAGCGGGGATGTTGTGTAACGTATCGATTAAAGGTACAGTGCTTTGCTCCTCCTCTTCAAACTGTATGCAGCCAAACAAAGACAAGATATGTAAAGTGTGTAAATTTTAACCATCTTACTCATCCTCATCTTCCGCTTTATTGTGGACTGGGTCACATGGGCAGTAGTCTAAGCAGAGACATCCAGACGTCCCTCTCCCCAGACACCTTTTAATGCTTTTGTATTTTCACTAATTTTGAATGAGTTGCTACAGTTGGTTTGATATTTAGCCAGTTCATCCATCCAGATGCTGCCTTTTAGGAGGCCATCATTACCGGTAATAATTTTTTACACTGGTTCTTAAAGAAGAAAGATTTTTTCTTTTTATAGACATATGCAAAACGTGCATCTTACTTAAACAATGATGTCATAGGTCTATTTCTTTCTCTAACGGCGCCTCTTTGCTCCCATGCTGCTGTGTTTCCCTCACATAGGTTCTCTACACATACCCGGCGTTGTTGTCTTTGGTTTTTCCGTCCAAGCTCCACCAAACCGCCTGGCTGATTCTAGGTGACATGCTAAAGTTTTTAGTGGCACTGCATGAACTCAACACCTTGGTGTGGACTTAGATCTTTGAGCACTTAGTTCAAAGGTCAGGGTGGTATGGAGCTGTGTTAGTGTTTTTTTTTATCAGAAATATCTTTGCTTTATTTTTTAACCATTAGTGCATGCAGTTTACATAATACACGCTGCACTAGAGATGGTGCCTTTTCACCCAGCTGTTTGCGTGTTTGTAAATGACAGCGTATAAGTACCTCGCCTCCTGTTAACAGACACACTCTGCTCTCTCAAAATACAGGAGGGACGGACTGGAGCAATGTTTTTTTTTCTTTCTTTTTGATGACAGGGAGTTAAGTTTGAGAGGCTGGAAAGAAAGTATAAAGATGGCATACAAGTGGAAAAAAAAGAGTAAAAACCTGATACATAAGTTATATCAGTAAATCAGGAGGAAGTTTGCAAATACTCAGTTAAGCTCACGAAAGGGAAATAAAGCCTGTTTGTGGTTATAATGTTGTTATCATTTAACTAGAGGGTGAATCAAAAACAGATAAGTTAAAGAAAGTGGGAGTGATACGCTTGATTAAAATGTTTTGATGATGTATCAGGCTTGAACAGATGCGGCGTCTAACGAGGAACTGATGTCCAAAAAGAATATAATTTAAAATTGAAATGATATATTTTATATATTTGTTTTGACGGCTATATTCCATTAGAAAAAAATTAATGTCCTCCAGTTTTAAGAATGTAGAGAAAGAAGAAGAGTTGGTTCAATTTTAGGAATAGCCACTTAATACCAAAGGATTCATTAAGTGCAGTATAAATGTATATATATTTAATATCTGCATATAGATTGAAGAGAATTTGCAAATCATTGTCATTTCTCAGATGTTTTGTGTTCTTATTTCTCTTCGGAAACATGTTTAGATTGCAGATGACAGTCAGCAGAATATCAGTTGAAGCACATTTTGCCAAAGTGAGTATTTTTCAGATCTTTGGAGTTCATGAAAATGGGCTATTAGCACTTATCAGAGTAGAAGAGATCACAGCTGCAGCGGAAATCCCAACTTACCATCAGTGATATCAGGGAATATTATCCAGACATCACAGACCCTGATCTAGAAACCAAAAGTCTATTTAGTGTTTCTGTTCTCATTTTAGTCTCAGAGGATTAATCTCGACTGAATCCTAATTAACCGCAAATCCAATACTTGAAGAAAACAATCTTAAAGTGTCTGCTTTCTTGTAATACATTTTGAAAAGTTGTAAATGAAGAAAATATCAGTTTTGTAATAACAGATTAAAAGACTGAATTTTTTTCTTACATTTCTCTTCATTTTGCTTCGTTGGAAAACAATAAAAAGTCTTGATTAATAATCAGAATAACCTTTATTGTGTCCACACTTCTTCTAGCAATTTGGCATATTTGCAGGATAAAGTGTCTGTTAGTAAGTAAAGCAAACGTAAATGATTTTAATTCCCAGTTTAGACCAACAGGAAGTTGTACTTATTTTTAAAGTTGAAGGAAAATAATTCATGGTTGATTTTTTTTCTTTTTTTTTTTTTTTCTTTTTTAAGTCTGAAAATGTGGTACAAGTGTATTACCTCCCCTTTACAATAAAAAAAAAAAACCTAGATAGAACTTAGTTTAGGTTTTAGGGCTACAAGAAAAACACTGTGGGCTGGAGTGTAAAACATGGCCCTCAAGATAAAAAACGGTGGTTGCAGCATCATGAATATACAGTTGTGGTCAAAAGTGTACCTACACTTGTAAAAAATCATAATGTTATGGCTGTCTTGAGTCTTCAATAAGTTCTACAACTCTTATTTTTCTGTGATAGAGTGATCGGAACACATACATGTTTGTCACAAAAAACAGTCATAAAATTTGGTTCTTTCATAAATTTATTATGGGTCTGCTGAAAATGTCACCAAATCTGCAGGGTCAAAAATATACATACAGCAACATTAGTATTTGGTTACATGTCCCTTGGCCATTTTCACGGCAACTAGGCACTTTTGGTAGCCATCCACAAGGTCCTGGCAAGCTTCAGATCGAATGTTTGACCACTCTTCTTGACAGAATTGGTGCAGTTCAGCTAAATGTGATGGTTTTCTTGCATGAACCTGTTTCTTTAGCACTGTCCACATGTTCTCAATGGGGTTTAAGTCAGGACTTTGGGAAGGCCATTCTAAAACCTTAATTCTAGCCTGGTTTAGCCATTCCTTTACCACTTTTGATGTGTGTTTTGGGTCATTGTCTTGTTGGAACACCCAACTGCGCCCAAGACCCAACCTTCGGGCTGATGGTTTTAAGTTTTCCTGCAGAATTTGGAGGTAATCCTCCTTCTTCATTATCCCATTTACTTTCTGCAAAGAACCAGTTCCACTGGCAGCAAAACATCCCCAGAGCATAATACTACCACCGCCATGCTTGACAGTAGGCATGGTGTTCCTGGGATTAAAGGCCTCACCTTTTCTCCTCCAAACATATTGCTGGGTGTTGTGGCCAAACAGCTCAATTTTTGTTTCGTCTGACCAGAGAACTTTCCTCCAGAAGGTTTTATCTTTGTCCATGTGATCAGCAGCAAACTTCAGCCGAGTCTTAAGGTGCCTTTTCTGGAGCAAGGGCTTCTTTCTTGCACGGCAGCCTCTCAGTCCATGCCGATGTAAAACACGCTTGACTGTGGAGACTGACACCTGTGTTCCATCAGCTTCCAAATCCTTGCAGACCTGCTTCTTGGTGATTCTTGGTTGACTCTTGACCATCCTGACCAATCTCCTCTCGGCAGCATGTGATAGCTTGCGTTTTCTTCCTGATCGTGGCAGTGACACAACTGTTCCATACACTTTATACTTGCGTATAATTGTCTGCACAGTTGCTCTTGGGACCTGTAGCTGCTTTGAAATGGCTCCAAGTGACTTCCCTGACTTGTTCAAGTCAATAATTCGCTTTTTCAGATCCACACTGGGTTCCTTTGACTTTCCCATTGTAGCTTTTGTAGCTGAGTCTAATCACTGGGTCAAATGAGCCCTATTTAAATGGGCTCATGAGAAGTCAACAGCTGTAGTCAATCAGAATCACTTAGAAGAAGTGAAGAGGCCATGACATGAAGCTAATTTGATTGACACAACTCGCTACATCACCAAAGTTGACAAATTTTGTTGCTGTATGTATATTTTTGACCCAGCAGATTTGGTGACATTTTCAGCAGACCCATAATAAATTTATGAAAGAACCAAATTTTATGACTGTTTTTTGTGACAAACATGTATGTGTTCCGATCACTCTATCACAGAAAAATAAGAGTTGTAGAACTTATTGAAGACTCAAGACAGCCATAACATTATGATTTTTTACAAGTGTAGGTACACTTTTGACCACAACTGTATACCTTATTTTAGCCAAGACAGAAAAGCTGGTCAGAGCTGTGAGGAACATATATTGAGTGAAAAACTCAAAGATAACAGAGGAAAATCTGAAGAAGAAACTTCCAGCTGGAGAATAGAACTAAATGGCCAACCAGATTAACCGTCAGACGCTTTATATCCAAGAATATTTTTTTCTTAGAGTGACCCAATCAAAGTTCAGACATAAAATAGCTGAGAATTATAATGAAAAATTGTTGTTTTCCATTCATTTAAAAGGTGTCAGTCTCTAGATTTACAAAGCTGGTAGAGACATACCTGGAAAAGAGCTAAGACCTGACTTAGTGGGTAGGGGCTAAATCAAAAACATGTTTCACTTTTTACCTGTAATAAATGGTTATACAATAATACATATACATCCGAAGATGCTTCTCTTTCATTCACCCTGAGTGAATGTAGCCTTGGCCAGGAGGAATCAATGTCATCAGGTGGCATCCACCGTTCACTGGCTGTTTCGACCCTGAACCACTACAGCCTCCCGGTGGTGGGTCGGCAGTGGTGGCCAAGTCACTGCCCATCTCCTCCTCCTGGCTTCCAGCTAACCTCCTCCCTCCTACTCCATAACCAGCATGAGGCTTTTTCCGCTGCCTCCCCCATCCTGCGAGCTGCAACCTTTCTTTCCCTCCCTCCCAATCCAATGGCTGTGAACATTCTCCATACAGACTGGGCCGGGAACCCTCGACAACTGACCACGACTGGGAACAACCATGACTGCCATCCCTTCTCTCTGCACTCATGCAGAAGGTCTTGATACTTTCCACTTTTCCTTTCAAAGGCCTGTTCACACCCCTCTACCCATGGGACAGTCAGTTCAATAAGCATGATCTTCTTCGCTTCTTCTGACCACAGTACCACATCTGGCCTCAGGGATGTCTGGACAAACTGTGGGAACTTCAACCTTCCGCCCAGCTCAACCTTCATTTCCCAGGATTGGGCCTTTTGCAGTAGACTAGATTTTGCTGTAACTACAGTTGGTGGCTTTTCCCCTTCCCTTATGAACTGGATTGATGTTGCCTTTGGATGTTTCTGCCGTTTCTTCTTCCTCTCCTGCTCTAGGGTGTTGGCAAGTGTCATGAGCACCTTGTCATGGCGCCACCTGTATCTTCCTTGGGCAAGTGCAATTTTACACCCAGACAGGATATGCGCCATGGTCCCTTTCTCCCCGCAGAGCTTGCACAGGGGGCTCTCACATAGCCCCCACCTGTGCAAATTTGCTGGGGTCGGGAGTGTGTCATACACTGATCGCAGTAAGAAGGAGATATGAAACGGCTCCAGCCTCCAAAGCTCTGCCCAAGTGATCTTACGCTTGGGGAGGTCCCACTTGGTCCAGGCTCCTTGGG